AACGCAATTGGTACAATTAAATCATTTGGTGGAATTAGTTTGCCATCATTTTTAAGTTTTGTGGGGGCATTTTCAAATTAAATGGCCCGATCAACGCGAGGATTGTGGGGAAAACTCAGAATCGAGACTTTTCTACATATTCCGAATGAACGACAACTTTAATAAACTGTTGACTTGGAGACCATAATTTATATCCAACGGTGCAGAGATTTTTTTTCCCGATGAAAATGACAGTTAAAGAAAATAGTCCAATTTATGTGTGGGTATGATGGTTAAATAGTCCAATTTATATTGATGAAAACTTCTGCATTATAATTAATAATTAAATAATAATATGTAAATACAAAAAATCTAATACTGTGGGGAATAGTGATGAATGAGACACGTTGCTCCCTAAGACTTGCCATAAATTTTTTTATTAATAATATAGATTGAATTTCAACTCATTTTTATATTCTTGTGGTGATCATATTCTGCAATATGAATGAATAAAATATATTAAAATCTTATTTAACTATAAATATATATGTACATCAGTGAATTTTATACTTATCAAATCCTTAATATAAGACTTATTTAATTAATTTGATTAGATTAAGAAAGTTAGGTAAATTAGTTAATTATAAGAAATATGATATGTTTTTCTTGAAATATCATAATTATCTTCTTTAATATCTTCCCCCCTCTTCTACTTGATTATGGTTGAATGTATATCAATAGGAGGTAATTTAAAAAAATTAATAAATATGAGAAATTGGTTTTATATTTAGGATTAAAATCAACTCAATAATTAGATTATATATTAAAGATTGGTGGAGTATTAGACTTTGCTAAAGATGATTTTTCTAATTACATAGAAAGAATCAAACATTAAACTTTGCTAAAGATGTTCATATATAACTATTCAATGCTATGAAAGGGAATAAGCCGTGTAAGGAAAGGCACATGTGCGGACCACCATTGTGTTATCAATATCATCGCATTGGTCTTTCCAATGCAACTATTCAATGCTACAAGAGTTTATACTATCTTCGGTGCTAAATATAATATTTATTTTGCTGTACAAATTACACTAAAAGTTAAATCTTATATTTAGAACGAAAGGTAGTATGAATAAAAAGACTTGTCATGAATATTTTATAATTTGATTAAATTTTGATTTTTTATTCATATTATTTAAAACTGTGGTTTTATATTCCTCTAATTTATTAAGTTCAAAGCATTAATTTCCTATAGTTTTATGAGTATTTGAATATAATTTTAACTAAAACAATCTTCCTAAATAAACCAATAAATTTAACTTTTTCACAGTAACTTTACGAAATAATTTTTTTTATAACCAAACCATGCTAACATTAAACTCAAATTTATCCCAGATATATGAACTAACTTACTATATAATAAGGTTATCTGTGATAGGAAAGAACAACACCCAATCATACACCCTATCATGGATAAAAGAATTTTTCTTATGGTTATAAAATAACTTATTATATAACTCTCAAATAAAAAATAGTAAGACTAATAAATTCAAAATAACCAAATATGCAATTTTAGGCCTCTAACCAATTATCAGCATGCATATCACAACAGAACAAATAAAAGGACACAAAAACATGATAATACATGAATCAATTAAACACAAATTGTCCTATGATGGTAATATAAAGGAAACAATATAACTCATAAATTAAGAAGATGCTACAAGCCGTTATTGTAGTTTTACTCCTCTTGAGCCTTTCCTGACATTCCTCCTCTAAAGCTCTCACCTGGAAAATGTCAAGCAATAGGAGTGAGATAATGTCTTAGTAACTAAATCCCTACCTATCACACACACTAATATGGGCTAGCGAGGTGTCGAGTGGGATTCACAGAGTTAATAACGGTCAAGAGACATTTATTTAGTAGTTAAACTTACAATAACCATACAAGTTAAATATTTCCGCCAATCTCTGCACTTGATAATTTCAAAAGAAATAACATATTTTTTATTTATTCAAAAGATTTAAATATTAATGAAGATTCCATATCATATGCAATCTATGAACCCAAATTCATCCTTATATCCTCTTTATTTTCGCCGACTGGACTCATGGGTTAAATTCTTTTCATTTGACTAATTACTCTAATAAGCTCACCAAATGAGTGATATGGATTGGTCAAAGACCACAGATCACTCAGTGGACCATGGGTCCTCCCTCAAAGAACTAGTAGGGTTTGCAGTCCCTCAAAAAATTAGTAGGACAATAATAGTAGTCAACTATAAAGCTCTGTATGGAGGCCAACACCACATGGCATATATATATCTGTATATTTCAATCATCTCCTCCCCTCACCCAAACCAAATACATAAGGTTTGCAATAACATATTTGTATGCATAATCAACCGAATTTCAAAATAATACCTTATAGTTATAATTATTAATTTCTAACAACACAAATGATTTCAATCCTTTTTAAAATAGCATCCCACAAGACAGTTCATACAAAACATAATATATGTATATAAAAATTAGTTATAAAACCACTCATCAACCTCATACCAGAGTATACAACAAATAGAAATTTAGTTACCTAGACTCCTAGCTAACAATCAAATTCAAATGAGGCCGTACTCTATAATGTCCTAATAGTATTTATATCTACCAATGAAATTAAAACATTATCTCTACAATATTAGAGTAAACTACTAACAAATTTCTAGCGCTAACTCTCCCTCTAAGATCTTTAACTATTACTAAGAATTCTAGCTCAAAAGGCCCTTTTCTAAGGTTTGGAGTGAGAACATATATATGATAATTTAATTTCAATGCCTAGATATTCTTAACTTAAATATCCTTTAATTATTAATTTATATCATTATAATCATCAAATCCATAACATAGATAGAAAAAACCCTAATTTGTATTTTATGTTCTATCTTCAAAGGACTTAAATAAATTTAATATGAGTTAGGTCATTCCCACTACATAAGTTAAATCATTGATTTGACCATTGAATTAAATTTTCTGTCTATCATGATACTATTCGCCAAATTATAGCTCAATTTAATGGTGAATGAATTTAAAAACGCTAATTTACTATTCAGGACTCTATCTATCATATCTAAAAAAATAAGTTAAAAACATACTTAATAAGTTGTAACCTAGAGATCAGATTGATGATCCAACCATTGAAATTAACAAATTGGATATTCCAAACAAGCTGACTAAATTTTAGTTTGATCCAACGATTAACAGACTCAAAACTAACACTTTTTTGAGATTAACTCAGATACGTGTGAAAATTGTTTACTTACTTCAAACTCTCTTCTACTACTACCTATATGTAGCCTCCAAGAGCTTTATCTACCCATCATTTCATCGATACGAGACTTCTCAATATTGACATCTTATCAATCTTCTTATCATTTAATCAATATGGGACTTTTAACATTATTATTTTATTCATTTATTTACATATGTTTATACGTGTACACAAATACATATGATTTTAATTGCTTATATATATATTAACCTCTATCTATTCTATCTTAATAAAAATTTAATAAAATCTTAGGGATATGAAAATTAGGATGTTGCATTATTTATATTAACTTTCTTAATTCCCATAAATATAAGATTAACATCGCTAAAAATATAAACCTGAAATCAAGACTCATCCCTCTATTTAACTTAATTTACAAAGATCTTCTTTTTATTTTGAAAACCTATATAGACTTTCTTTAAAATCAAAGTATGTGTTGTACAAACTTTTCTTTTAATTTTGAGATTCAACTTCCATCCAATCAACCATCAGTTGACTATTATATTATAAGGTTGGCCTTTTATTTTTACCAAAATGCCCCTCCTTATAATGCAAATATCACTTAATAATTATCATTTAATCACATATGATATATCTTTATTTGAATTTAAAAAATAATCTTAATACATATTTTAATATTTTTTGTTATACTATTAAATTGATTACCATATTATAAATTTAAATAATTTTTTAAATAAAATTTTCATTTTACAATAGATTTAAGTGTTTGATCTCATTTATTTATTAAAACTTACTTGTGATATAATTTTTTAAATATATATTAGTTGAAAATATTTTGAATTGTATGTATGCATTTTTAATTGAATTAAAAAATTATCTCATAATTTAATAAATTTAGTAAAAATATTAAACAGATCATCAATAACTATTAATAGTAAAAGATAAACCAGACATCTAATATAATGAAAGATAAAGTAGTGAATAAGATTTATTCTAATATATTTTTAATTAAAAATATACATAAAGAATGTCTTTAGAATATTTTTTTGACAATATTAATGATTTGGAGTAAAAAGTATGTTATCAAAATAGAAAGAAGGTCTGTATAATTAAGACAAAACAAAAGGGTGGTAAGAATATTTTACTTTAAGAAAAAAAATAGAGACAGGAATATATACTTCCAATGCACTAAAGCTTTTAAATAAGGGGGAATTATAATCAAGTCTTACAGAAAAGAAATAATTACCAAAAGGTCCTAATACAACCTCAACAACTTATAATAACAAGTCTTATAGTGAGAATAACAACTTTTGGGACTTGTTTTTCAATTGTTTTTCTTGCTTGGGACCTCATTGTAATTCCCCCTTTAAATAAACATGTCTTTGGACTTTTAATTTATATGGATTTCTTATTTACACTTGCATGGCAATGTCTTTGTGGTGAGACTTGAATTTTTCGTTATATTCATCAGAATATTCTTTTATATAAATATAATTCTTTATTTATTTACGTCAGAAGAAGAAGCCGGCGAAAGCTGGGAGCTATTTTCAAGTGAATTGATCCATAAATGAATTATACTGTTTGCAGAATTGATCCCTAGTGGTACCATGAAGCGAATACATGATTTTAGTTAATGCTGTACTGATACATGATTTTTTTTTTCAATTTATTGTTATGATATTTTGCATCAATAATGGAATGTTAATATATGCTCTATGTTTCATTTCCAGTTAATGTCATCTCCGTTTGAGAGTGAAACAATGTCATCTAATTCAGTTCCTTCTAACGCTATTGTGGCTAGTCAACAAACACCAATAGATTCTAGTCAACAAACTAACGAAGGAAATGATGTTAATGATAGTATTATTCAAAAGAAGAGGCGAAAAACCTCAACCATTTGGGAGGAGTTTGATCAAGTTGAAATTGATAATGGGATCAAAGGGAAATGCAAGTATTGTAAACAACTATTCACGTACTCAGGGAAGGGAGCTAGTACTAGCCATCTTCGAAGACATGTCACTGTCTGTTTGCAAAGAAAGTTGCTTGTTTCTTCACAAAGCAAGCAACCCACAATTCCATTTCAACCTTCCAATCTGAGCATTAATCCATTTTTGACACCGGGTGCTAGATATTCTGATGAAAAGATGAGGGAAATAATAGCTACTGCAATCATGGTGCATGAACATCCTTTTAATATTGTTGAGGATGAAGTTTGGATGTGGGGCTTTCAATATGCAAATTCTGAATTTCAAAAAGTATCTCGAAAGACAGCAAGAAATGATTGTTTAGCAATATATGAGGCAGAGAAGAAACAATTGAAGGCCTTATTAGAAGGTGTGAATAAGATTAGTTTGACTACTGATATGTGGAAATCAGCTCACCAAGTAGCTGAATACATGGTCATCACTGGGCATTTCATTGATTCGGGATGGAATCTTCACAAGCGAGTTTTGAGTTTTGTGAAAGTTCCTGCTCCTAGACGAGGAATTGATGTGGCAGATGCTATTTTCAAGTGTTTGAAGAGTGGGGTATTGAAAACAAAGTATTCTCTGTGTCAGTTGACAATGCTTCTTACAATGATTCTTGTTTAAGAGCTCTTAAGGACACTTTATCACTTTGTAGTTCATTACCTCTAGGTGGTGATTTGTTTCATGTTAGATGTTGTGCACACATAGTAAACTTAATGGTGCAAGATGGCCTTGGAAGAATTAGGGACATTATACATAATGTTCGAGAGAGTGTGAAATATATCAATTATAATGACTCAAGGCTGAAAGCATTTTGTGATGTTGTTGAGCAAAAACGTTTGAAGGAAAGAAAGCTTATTCTTTATTGTCCAACGAGGTGGAATTCGACATATAGAATGCTGTCTACTGCTTTGAAGTTTAAGGTTGTCTTTCCTGATTATAAGGAAAGAGAGCCACATTACAACTATGCACCATCAGAAGAGGATTGGAATAAGGTTGAGAAGATTTGTAAACTTTTAGAAGTATTCAATCTAGCCACCCATATCATCTCAGGTAGTGAGTATCCTACTGCAAATTTGTACCTTCCTGAAGTGTGGAGAGTGAAGCAAGTAATTGACAATGCCATAGAAGATGGTGATTTCTTCATAAGAGAAATGGCAGCTTCAATGAAAGAGAAGTTTGACAAAGATTGGGGAGAATGTAATATGTTAATGGCCATTGCAAGTGTTTTGGATCCCAGGTGCAAATTATATGTTGTTAATTATTGCTTTCCTTTGATTTATAAGCCTGATTATGTGGCTTCTAAGAATATAGATAAAGTGATGAGTGCTTTGAGATCAATGTATGATGAGTATGTAAGCATGTACAAAGGAGACACTATGGGTAATAATGAAGTTGATAATGCAGGTAATAACTCTTCTGCCGATGCATCTAGTTCTTCTATAGTTACTGGATTTGATCAAATCATGAGTATTGTTTGTGAAAAGCAAGCAGTTCCCCCAATGAAATCAAAATTGGAAGCTTATATTGAGGACGGTGTTTACATTCTTGATGGTAATTCTAACTCCTTTAGTGCCTTGGAATGGTGGAAAAATAATAGCATGAAGTATAAGATTTTATCTAAGATGGTTGCTGACGTATTAGCTATTCCAATCTCAACCGTAGCATCGGAGTCCACTTTTAGTGCTGGAGGTAGAGTTATCGATGAATATCGTTCCAAATTGAATGAAGAATCAATTGAAGTGCTTATTTGTGGTGGGGATTGGCTTTGCAATAAGTATGGCTTGAGGAAAAAAACCAAAGGTATAAATTTTGTATTGTAAAAGTTATATCGTTTTTTATTCTTCTTACTTCTTAAATTATGATATGATCTAATATTATACATTTGATTTGTTTTTTTTGAAGGTGCTCGAACAAGATGAAGAAATTATATTGAAAATTTGATGATTTGCTACTGGTGGCTATTCTTCTTAAACTTGTTTGTAATGTTGTTGTATTTGGTATGTTCTTGTTGAATGTTGATTAATAACATTATTTCAACTTGTATTTTAAGTACTTGAGTTGTGGATTGTGATTTTATTTGAGTTTATTTAGTTGTATGTTCTCTCTTTTTTTTCTTGTTTGGCAACTATGTTTCAGATCACAAGTGGCCTGTTTCGGCCTGTTTAAAGACATAGGCCTGTATTCTGTTAAGGCCTGTTCTTGGCCTGTTTAAAGGCTTAAGCCTGTGTTTCAATAGGCCTGTTAGCCTGTTTATAGATTTTTAAAAGATACAGGCCTGTTAACAGGCTTCAGGCCAGGCTAGGCTCTTATATAGGCCAGGCTTAGGCAAAAAAAAAAGCCTTTAACAGGCTACGGGCCAGGCTCAGGCCTATTTGTTACAAATCAGGCTGAGCCTGTTAAGACGATGGCCTGGCCTGTTCCCACCCCTAAATTTCCGATGCCTAGACCACATCATCCTCGAACTTTAGGTAAAGAGTCAAATATAAATGCTTCTTCTGTTTTTTTTAACACATTCGAGTAAATATAATTTTTAGGTCTAAACTTTTCTCATCTCATTGATCAAGTCTTAATTTATTAACTCAAGACAACTCAATTGCTATAATTTCTTGACTTGGTAAGTTGGTACCTATAATTGCTTAACCCAATAAGCTATGAGATTGAGCTTACAGAGTTCAGGAATTATTAGGACTAAATTTTTTGTGTTATTGTAATTTTTATATCTATATGTTTCTATATATATTATGCAAATTGAATGTTTGGGAAATGAGATTGACTTCAGGGACATAGTGGCTAACTTATGGAACTAGTTTTAATATTCATTATAATCATGATGTTGATCACTGTGGTAAGATTTGTATTGTCCAAACATAGTATCAGTAGTTCAAATTCAAAATTTTTAGGTGAGATTTTTAAATAGAAACATTTTCTAAGAAGTTGACGGTTAAAAAGTTATCTTTATTTTATATTATCTACACATTAAAATATTAATTGTTAAAAATATAAAAATAAAATTATATCAAATTTGGATTGCCTAATTTTGATATGGTGAGGCATTAAATGTAAGGCTCACACTTGTGGAAAAAAAGACCACCTCGCAATTATGGTATTATGTCCTGCATTTATAATGGTTATAACCACTTCGAAGAAGATGGGTAGCGGTTTGGAAAGTCACTCCTAAGATGAGGGAACCGGTTTCAGTGCTTATCATTTTAATGAGTACTCTAAGCTCATTAGATATGGACTATGCATATCTCATTTGGATAGTCCGAAATTAATTTTTTTTATTTTTATTTGTTTAAAATAATTATTTTGATATGTATAGAATCTAAAATAAAGATAATCTCTTAATATCATTTTTCAAAAAGCAGATTATTTATTTTAAAATAAATAATTAAAGATTTTAAATCTAAACAATTTAAATTAGATATAGACAGTCAAGATTTGATGAGTTTAGAGTGCTTATCAAAGTGATAAGCAACAAAACTGGTTTCAAGAGGTGTGACAACTAATTAACGGTTTTATAAACATTAATTACTAAGTAATTTCATAATATAATTACATATTAGTATTTAATTACTGCTTTAAATATCATTTCAACTAATTATCAAGTACATTAAAAATTAATTCCTTATTAATTAATTAATTAATTAATATTAAAATTAATTACAAATTCATAACAAAATAGAAATTAGTTTAACTAAACGCAAAATAATTATCAAACAGGTATTCATCATTACCATGGTAAACATTATTACCAGACTTAAGAGCAACCAAATACCACTCCTCTTGGTAATGAAATCTTGATCGTCATTACAAGCCTGCAATATGATTGAATCATATGGGTCCTAGTGTTTCTTCCCTTTTCTTTTTAATTTTTTTTTTATTTCAAACCTGATGGAAAAATAAAGTGAGGCAATGCCATGTGGGCACGCCACATAGGCATATAGTTGGGTAAACTAATTGTCAACTGATTGTATTGATCAAAACTACGTAACATTGCAGTGTTGTTAGAACATTGTGTGAATATTACGCCTTGACATAACTAGAAGCATGAATTGCATTCCATTCTTCTGTATTCAAAACTCTCTGAAACTCGTTTCTCTCGCTCCTTGACAATCAGCAAGGACAATACTTATAGTTGTGGCTTCTGCTGCTGTTGGAGGAATAATTTTTTATTCGGCTTACTATCTCTTAAAGATTCGAATGAAGAAGAGTCATAGGGCTGGGCTCAGAAAAAAGTACTGTAAGTAATTTTTCATTCTATCCGTTTACTAATACAGTTTTTGTCCAGTTGGAAGATTCGTTGTTGCTTATTTATCTAGTTGGTTTAATACTTGTCTAGTTGGAACGGAAAGCACTACTTTAGAGCATCTGCAATTTAATTTAGCTACGATTAAGGCTGCGACAAATAGGTTTTCTCACGAAAATAGTTTAGGGAGAGGTGGATTTGGACAAGTTTTTAAGGTAACAAATTGCCATCGATGTGAATTTTTTTTTTAATATGTGCGCGCGCGCGTGCATATGTTTGTTTTCCTTTTTTTAATCGAGCTAACTATTATTCCAGGGTATTCTTTTAAATGGCCAAGAAATAGCTGTGAAGAGACTTTCAAAGGGATCTGGCCAAGGTGCAGAAGAGTTTAAGAACGAGGTTTTATTAATAGCTAGACTCCAGCACAGAAATTTGGTGGCATTGTTAGGATTTTGTATTGAAGAGCAAGAGAAAATACTAGTGTATGAATATGTTCCTAATAGAAGCCTTGATTACTTTTTATTTGGTATGAATCTTCTAAACTCATATAAACTTCTAATCGGAATTTTGTAGCTCATTTATGTCATGCATTTATTATTTATTCGGTGCCTCTTGTTATGTTTTGAAGTTTGTTACTCAAATTAAAATCTTTTTCATTCATTTTGTCACTTTACTTTCAACAAATTTATGTAGGTTCCCAAAACAGCAGGGTATTAGATTGGATGGAGCGTAGTAAAATCATAAGAGGAGTTGCTCTAGGAATTCTTTATCTACATGAATATTCTTGTCTAAAAATCATACATCGAGATCTCAAACCTAGCAATATTTTGTTGGATGATGAAATGAATCCAAAAATTTCAGATTTTGGCCTAGCTAAGATGGTTGCTATTAGTGAAAATGAAGGAAGTACAAATCGAATTGCTGGAACATAGTAAGTTCTGCCTTTCTTCTTTTAACCTTGATGTGTACACATGCATGCGTATATGCATATGCCTATATCTTGATATAATGGAATAACGAAAAATAATTTGACTTAATTTGGAATACAAAAGTTTGCCTTTCAACTAATCATTTTAAATGCTCAAATCTTATCATGTTTTGAATTATATTTCATTGACATTGTCCTTTTTACAGTGGTTATATGTCTCCAGAATATGCAATGTTCGGACAATATTCTGAAAAATCAGATGTTTTTAGTTTTGGAGTTATAGTTTTAGAAATTATCAGTGGAAAGAAGAATACAGGTTGTCATGATTCACAATATGCCGGTGGCCTCTTAAGCTATGTAAGTGATGATAATGTATTTCTCTCTCTTCTATTCTTGTGCCTTAAGAAGAATAAATCATGTTATGATTCGCAATGCGTTGATCACCTCGAAGACATGTTACCTAAGGCTTTCAAAGAATTCTTACAGATGAAGACTTCCCATATAAACAATCATCTTAACATTTAAATTGGAGATAGAATGATTAATTTGACAATATTGTATGATGAACTAATAAAGGTGTATTATTCACTGAAGTAATATGTTTTTCTTCATCGTTGCAGACTTGGAAGCAATGGACGGACGACAAGTTGCTAGAGATACTGGATTCAAATATAAATGAATTGGGGTCATACAATGAAGTGATCCAGTGCATTCAAATTGGTTTATTATGCGTTCAAGAAAATCCAAATACAAGGCCTTCCATGGCCACAGTTGTTTCATATCTTAGCAATGATTCTATTCAATTGCCGTCACCACAGGAACCTGCTTTCTTTTTGCATGGCCAACCGGAGCCTATTATCACCAGTGCAAGTGGAGAACCATGCTCTGTTAATGAAGCTTCTATGAGTGAATTCTTTCCTCGCTAAAACAAGGCTTTTCTTTCAGTTTTAGCTGCACGTGACAGCCAATGTAGACAGTGAAGAGAATATTTCTTTTGTCTTCCTTAATGTTGTTTAAACCAGTTAAATACAACCATTTTTCCATCGGGTCTAAAACTAGCATAGAAAGTTGAACGTCAGCTTTATCCACATCGGTTACAAAATCAATGTAAAAAATCCTTTTTAACTACTATAAAAATACCTTTTTTATATTAGTTAAAAAAAACAGATAGAAAAAGAAATGTTTATAAGTCAATGTTGATGGAGACATCCTTCGTATTGTTTATTGTGTCATGGTTTACTAATATTTAATATTACCTTATTTAATCATTTGTTGTTTAAATAAAAAAAAATTCTTGGGGCAGATTAGGATGTGTGATGCAATATTTTGAAGGTTAGGGTCCTGTTTAACACGTTCCACACGTAGTCTACGAGTGGCCAAAGAAAATAAGCATTTCAATATGAGAGCACCCCCCAAATTTTCTTGTGAAAAAAAAAAACGAGAGAGTACTATTGGTGCAAAATAAGCCCCTAAATCAGGGCCTAATTAAGTCCGCCGGTAATCACCATGCCTCGAGGGACGACATCCCTAGTGGTTTCACTCTGTGGCACTTCATCTGGTCTTCTAAAGTATAAACCCAAAAGGAGAACCCAATCATAAAAAACTAGCCTATTAGGTGAGAGAACCTCTTAAACTTATAAACCACACAACACTTGTGAGATTTCCTAACGTGAGACTCATTACACCACATTAGCTATTAACGTGCCAGTGAAGGGTGGTTTGATCCAATGCGATTATTGAATGCATGCATCAAACTATGACTCTTCCATATTTCTCACTAAAGTATAACAAAATTGAAAATCTTTTTTCGTCTCAAATTACAAATTTGAAACAATTGGCCTAATTAATCACGTCCTGTGTAAGCATGCGGCACAATTAATTATAGCGTCAATATAAGCTAATCTAGACACTATAGTCATGGCCTAGTGAGGGCGATTCAAGGGATGAATGAGACAAAACAAAGATTACTGCTTTTTAGACCTTTATTATAAGCACTTAATAACAATGATGTATGTTAAAATTAATTAAATTTAGTTATTTCATGTAATATATCAAAATTACCCTCAGTTAAAGTTGTTAGTTAGAGATTATCAAAAAAATGTTGTTAGTTAGAGAAGACTGGTTAATTATAGTTTAAACTCAAAATGTTATATTATAAAACGTTCTAGAGGTCCTGAATTATAATTATAATAAGGACTAAAGGTAGTGATATATTTTTATTCACTTTTTATCGTTTTAATATTCTCTATCCCCCTCCGACTCCCTATCTCAATTACAATCAAATGTGTCAATGACTAGTTGTCCCAATGACAATACAACTTGTAACATTTAGATGAGGTTTCGAGTTTGAGCCCGTGTGTTGATGTGTTTGTGTGCATCCATATATTTAGGTTGTTTAAAAAATTACAATTAAATGTACAACTTTCTCATGTAAGATGGCTATTATCCCAATTACTACCTAATAATCTCCCATTATCTAATATGAGCAACAAAATGGAACAAATATTTGATCTGTTTTATATAGTATGTTCCAATGGGAATAAACGGATTCGTGAGGAACACCTGGCAATCCTGAATTAGTGCTTTCTTATGTAAGATTGCTATTATTTTATCCTATCCTAAATATAAAAGCTAGATAACTAACTTTTAGAAATTTAAAAAAAAAAGTTAGTTATTTATTTATAATAAATAGGTGTTCATTTTTTTAAACTACCTTATTTAATTATGTACATTGAAATTATCATTTGTTTAAACCTTTTTAATACGTGCATTTAATAAGGGTAATTTGAAAAAAAATTATAAATTTGACAAATAAAAGGGACTGAAATTAAATCTTATGACCAACAAGTCATTGGTTAAAATGATAGGCAACCTCATCCCTATAAGGAAAGAAACACAAGTTCAAATTTGAAGAAGAACACATGTTAGGAAATGTGAAAACCATTTGCACTCTAAGTTTCAAAAAGGAGATATCCTTGATCAAATAAAAAAAATAAGTCTTGCATTTAACATCAAAATAAACCTCTTAAACACTCATATTTAGGAGCAGAAGGAGTATGGGAGAAGCACTGGTTATTGATAATTGTGATAAGGTTTTTATGCTGTTGATGGATGGAAGTTCGGAGGGGACTACAGTTTATAATTCCAATATCCTGTTAAGTGTGGATTGGACAAAGTTAGCAATTGCTAAACTGATGATCAGAAAAGATATTCCCTCTTTGTTGGCTAAGTTTAGGTCTATTTCTTTTTGTCATTTTTCTCGTATTGATATATAAGGTTCCTATCGTAAAATACTTCATCAAAAGAAAATCCAATTGCACTGCCAAAGGGATCACTATAAAGGTCCAGAATGACCATCTTTATATCAGTTCACATTTTACTCTATTTTTTTCCCAGACAATTCACGAATACTTTCAAATTTTATGTAAAGTATGAGAAAACACGTACACCAGTTGATGCCTTTATTCAGTAAGATATTTAACATTGCCTCTTTTTAGTTTTCCAAATCTTACTACTACATATTTATAAGTATTTGATGTCAAATATTTGACAATTGTAAAACAAAACTGTCAAATAAAAGAAGACAGTAAATGGTGACACAATACTTGATAGTTATTTGCTAAAACCGTCAAGTATTATTAACAAATACTTGATGGTTTTACATGGAACCATCAAGTGTTGTTTCGTATAGGCATATTTGGCAGTCATTCGCTAAAATTTTCAAATATTTAAATTGACGGTTTTAATGAATAATCATCTAGTATTTTGTTTTAAAATATCTAATCAGACTTATTTCACTCGAACTCAGTTTCAAATTTCAAGTGCTCTATCTCTTTCACATGCTTTCTCTAAACCTCCCACCATCTAATCCGCCTTCCCCACGAGATTTTCAAAAGTCTCCTGTTGATTTCGTGGCTTTTCCTCCACTGTCATCAACTTTTTCGGTCGGTGGTTCTTCTCCTTCACTCTCAGCCAGCATCGCATGGTAAGTCTGATCTGTTGTGTTCGCGTTTGCTTCTGATTTTATTGCTCGAGGTTGAGTGGTATTTTTTCTGATTGTGGGTTCTGATCTCCTTTTCTTTTTACCTTGTTATTCTTTTACATGTTCTAAGTTCATGGTTTGTGGATTGAATGGCTTTGTTATTCTATGTGGGTTCTGATTATTAACGAAAATGTTTTAATTTCTGATTCGTGGGTTATGTATTTACATGTTCTAAAAATGTTTTGATTTCGTGGGATGATTAAATGGCATTGTTTTAGCCATTCCTAATGGTTTGAATGAATAAATATTACTTGAGATGTTATTTAGTTTGAATTAAACTTGCATGAATAATACTTTTAACTACTGGATTTTCCAAATTAAAATTGCCTTGCTAATTTGGTGTTTAGAGATTTATTTTTTCACGTTAAAATAGTAGAAAGAGAAGGCACAATACTTGAGAAATGCTTATTTTTAAGTAGTTGTGCTGCCCAATTTTTTTCAATTGGAACGGGATGTGATTGAATGTTGATGTTTCCAATTCGAATGTTTTTTTTTTTTTTTTCACGTGAGTGCTGTTATTGGTTCTGATATTGCTGTGCTATGGTTTGTTGGTTCTCATATTCACCAGAAATGTGCTTTATTGAACAGAATACTTTATGGTTCTAATGTTACAAATACAATCATCAAGTACTCTCCCCAATATTTGACGGTTATTGCCATTAAATATTTTTTGTGACCATATATGAGGCTTGCTTGTTTGACAGTTCATAACCATCAATTATTGTAAAAAATAACCATCACATATTTTTATAGTAGTATCCAATTCAAGGAAACAGGCCTACACAGAATAAAGGGTAAGTGGGGTGAGAGGGGAAGTGTTTATCTTTGTAAGGTGCTTAAAACAGAATTAGTCATTGAACTTGGTAAAGACAATAGTTCAGGATTTAATGGTTCTATCATGATTGAACTAGCATCAATCAAACCATGATTAAAATAATATAATTTAATTAAAATATACGTAAATATTTATATATTACCTTAAAAGAGCATTATTTAAATAAATTAAAATGATACAATTTAGTTAAAATATATAAAATATTTATATATTACTTAAAAGAGTGTGATTCAAATAAAAATAAATTAATCCCCAAATAAATAGAATACTCATGTATAAGATACATATAATCCAACCAACAAAATAAAGTTACTAAAACACATATATGACGAATTATTATTTTAACCTTTTTAAAAGGAAAAAAAAACTCAAAACGATGTCGATTCAAGCACAGTAAAGAGAGAAAAATTATAAAAATAGACTCAATCAACCCGTCCAAAAAACTTACTCAAATGAGAAGGCGTTTGATTTGCTGGTTACTATTTTTTGTCTTTCTCAATTCAAAATGATATCATTTTAGGAGGGAAAAATTATTTAACCCAATTATCTTGTCCAAAACTCTTGACCGCACTAATCCAGAATTGATTTACTAGTCCTTTAGTTCGACTAGCCGACTTGAATTGAATTTTAGCGTCATATTTTTTTAGTGAGTATGAAGTAAGAAAATTTGTCTTATAAAATGAAACCAAATGAGTTTATATATAGATTATATGTTTATTAAAATCATAGACTTGTAAATCCCATTAAAATCAAACATATTACATCGATCACATTATTCGTTACATACCGGCATCCTTAGGCCATTAATTAGCTAACAGATAATAAGCTCTGAAGGATTTCGGGCATACCTGGAGTCTGCAATAAAGTCAAGTTGCCACGCGGAGGTCCGATCACGGTGACGGAGTCGGATCTGGGAGATACAGCAAATACACCGGAGGGAGAGTTTGGAGAGACGGAGAGATAGTCTAGTGGAGGAGAAAAAAACGCTTAAATCTACTGCCCAAAACTGATCCCTTTTGATTAGTTTCGTAACTCCTTGTTTATTCAAA